AGCGTTCTCATATTAATTCTTATGATTAGTTATTAATCATAATTAATATTAATAGCGTTCTCATCAATTAATCTCTTGCCACATTAATTGGCAAGACAGTCTTTGCTCACAGTTATCCAGGGCATTAGCCTTCTTTTGTAACTTGAAATGAGAACTTCGTCCTGGTTCTAGACTGTGTGATCTGAGTGATTCCTAATTATGCTTCTCTTTTCCATTTGTGTTACTTTTATTCCCTAAAACCGTGTTAAGCAATAATCATTAACTGTAAGTGCTCCCTTTAGAGGTTCTGTTGATTTTAAGGGCAATCCATGTATTTAATTCTATTAAATGGGAAAATTCATAGAATAGATATGAACATTCATTTCATTCTAGTTCAGAATGGAGAACTGCTAATACTAACCTAAGGCTCCGGTATCTCAGTTGCACGTACCCTGCGTTAAAGGAAGTGAGTGGTATCGGATTTATTTTTCTGATAAGAGTATGATGACAATGTGAGCAAAGTTTAAAAAGAAAAACATACCTGGGCTACAAATTTAAGAGGGCATAAACAAAAGTGACTTGCTAACTACACCAAGAGTTTGATTAATTGAACCGTATCTACTTAGGAATTGTCCTTTCAGATTTTTCTTCAAGGAACAGAAACAAATCCCTCAAGTCTAGCATGAATGTATTGGTCTGCTGTTATTACAAATCCCCATCTTCTTGAATTAAAGTAAAAAGAGAAAGGGTAGGGTTTTTTCTTAAAACATTTCCCATTTCTTACTAAAATTTTTGTAATAAGAATGCCATATCGCATAATGTTATCCCAGTAGATGACCAAGCACTGAAACAAAAGGATTAACCAGCGAGGAATGAGAGAGGGTTGGGGTTTTGCCATCAGATTTTAAACACTTTTAAAAGCCATGTTGGTCAATTTACCTTTTATACATACTTGAAAGAATGGGACATTAAGGTAAATGAACACATTGTGAGGCCTTCCAGTGTTACAAGGGTGACAAACAAATTTGGAGATCCATGTATGCTTTAAAGAACAGTACATTTGTTTAAATAAACTCATAGAAAACTGACATGAACAACCATAAAACAGATTTTTAAACAGGTAAAATGAATAAACTGTAAAAAGACTGAATCTGCCATAAACATACTCTGTGGTTCCACCACCTTGTGGCCGACGAAAACGGTTGCAGTTTCCGGAGCGTGTGGATTGCCTTGTCCTAGTGACTGAGGGTCAGAACCGAGGCAGGCAGAGGACACCCGCGAATATAGTCACCACCCTGCTGTATTTTGCCCTTAGCTGATACACTGAAAAATAGCAGCATTAAAATACAGCCTGAAATAGCTCAGCTACTACCTCAACTTGTTAAAATTGTGCAAGAATACAGAACACCAGCAGCATTTTAATGGATGTGTTTCAATTTGGTTTCAGACGCTCCCCTCCCATACAAAGCACACAGAAACACAAAGCTGGAACTGATCTAGGAACTGTTATTTCTTGTCCATCCTTGAAAACTTTTTCCATAGTTTGCTTTACTTAACTTTTAAAAATTTTACTTTAACAAACCTATTCAGTGTTAAAAAAAAATCCATAAGAATTTTAGAACAGTTTCTAATCGCCAGGAAACCGATGCTTATTTGTCTCCTTAAACTGGAGATACGCAGACTATCCTAAATCACCTGAATTTCTTTAGTCAAAAGTTTTAACATTTCAAATTCCTGTTACTGAAAGCTATGTTCTTAGAAAGGTCTCTCCAATACACAAGAAACTGACAGACCATAAACTCCCAGTGCATGTGTAAAGGGTAATTTTTTGCTAGTTTGCTCTTACGTTGTTTATATTGTACCTTTTAATATAGAAAATGGAAGAGTTTGGTTTTCTGACACAACTCACAAGGGAATATGTAAGAGTAGAAACCAGAAGGCCTTCTCTAAAGCCAAGTTTTGCAAGTCCCTTTTTGTTTAAGTATGATAAGGCTTCTTAAAAAAATAAAGAAGTAAAAAAAAAAAAAAAACCACACAAAAACACCACCAAAACAAAACCAACCAACATCCCTGGGAAAAGAATATAAAAGCCTTTTAGAAATACTTAATTTCTGAAAACATAAGACTATTTGAAAAAACTTAATTGCAAAATTAAAGGAAATTCAAGAAATCAATTCTCGTATTTCAAATCAGTCCACGATTTCATCATCAGCAATAAGATGTGCTATCTTTTCCAGCCCAAAATTACCAGCTTTGGGGAAAACATATTCATACTTAACAGAAATAATTAACGGGTTAAGTTAAATTAACTTTTTTTCCCTGATCCACATGCCTGCATGTTAGATAATGTTACATTAGAACCGAGCATTGTTATGAGAGACTAAAAGCAACAACCTGTAACAGTAACCAAAGCAAAAGCAACTTTCTCATGGTTACATACTATAGATCAGTAATTTAATATTAAAATTAACTTCCTGTATAAATAAAAACAAAAAACCTGGGCAAAAGTAAATTGGCACAGTCATTATGGTATTGCTTTCCAGTTTCAACACTGCGAAGAGCAGCCACAGACTCCGAACAGCAAAAGGAAAAGGCTACCGCCCAGCCACCTGGGGTAGTTTGGGTGGGTTTTTTTCCTTTTCAATGAAGCCATCAGCAGTGCTGCTGCCTCAGACCCATCAGACAACAGCCTGGAACGGGCCGGGGTGCAGCTTGCAGGAAAAGGATTGCTATAAACTGCTATGTAAAAATGAGAACAAACACCTAAAACCAAAACCATAGAGTGTGGTCTACCGATCTACACGACTTATTCTTAAGTCAATGTTTTTCAGGATTGTGACTAATTTTTACCTTCAAAAAGGCAAATAAAATAAAATAAAAATTGAAAATCGTAAGCCTTCAAGTTTCCTTGCCTTCATTCCCTCCCTCCCCCCAAAAAGCACCTCCTACTATAAACACTTTTTCTGTTTTAGGGGTTCAGAAGTTGGAATGTAGTGGAAATACATACAAGAAAGAAGGAATTTCTAGTTGTACATTACATTAGAAAGAGGTTTGCTCCCAGGCCTAAGGAGGGAGGGATACTAAGCAATATTAAATTCCTATCCTTACAAAGCATGCAAAATATTGATAATACTCACAAAATTGAAATTTATATTGGTTCCTTTTTGAATTTGCAACTTCACAGTACAATAGTTTCTAATATTATGCAGCAGTCAGAATTACAGTTACTACAAAATAATTTCTCCTTAATTTTTTCTTTCCATTTGTTTGAAAGACTCCTTTGTTTTTTGGGGTTTTTTTTTTAATTGAGAGGTTGCATATCACCCATCAGAAAATGTGCAATTCAGCATAACAGGGGTTGCTTTCTTTGTTGTATTTCCCCTCCAATGATGTTGACAGCCTAACTCCACCAATCTTCCAGAATCTCTCCCTCCCTCCCCTTCCCATGTCAATTCCTTCCCTTGTCTTCAAGCTGTTCTTTTCTTCTCACCAGGATGATGATGGACAAATGCCACTAAACGGTTGCTGCATAACTGGGTAGGAAGTAAAGGGAGCTGGGGTAGGTGATGAAAGTGGAATCACTCCCACCCCCAGAAGATGTTTGGCACAGCTGCTTCACAGCCAGAACACTTTGCTCTGGATACCAGCAATTCAGTTCCCCAAACACTGCTGCCCTTTACGCCTGAGTAACCCCTGTGGCTTCAACTCATTTGGGCAGGGAAACGCAAACTCGAGACTTGGCTAGACCTTTTGTACTGCTGTATGTACTTCCATAGAAATTTCTTCACTGCTCTTATTTAAAACAGGGTTGGAATTTCTGGAGAACACACAATGCATGCTACTTGCTAGATTGTCCATGTAGTACATTCTGACACATTTTATCAAAGTATTTGTATCTATCAGAAAAAGACTTGTAGAAGCAATGTACAAAGCCTCCAAAAATTCAAGTATCAAAAAAAAAAGATGTTCTGATAAGAGTCTGGAGTAAGCAGCCAGCCAAACTGACGCCCATTGATTATTTTTTTTTTTTGTCGACAAATGCTTCAATTATTTTTGCAGTGATAACATCTTTTCTTTGGAGTGTTGGGAATTAACAGTCTTCCCAATTAATTTTCATTAAGTTTGATGGGGTCTGAGGAATTTAGCAATCCTGCCTGGATAATACTGCCCCTGCTTTTATATGCAAACAAACAACAGAATCACAAACAGAATCACTGACTCTAACCCTCCCTGCCTCTCTTTAATTTGCTATATTTATTTATTTATAGTGTAACATCATTGGGTCTGGCTCCCTTAACCAAAAAAAAACCCATCAGAAGTGCAACACAGGCAAGAGCAGGGCACCTCCTTCCCTAGAGCTGTATAAACATTTGCGAGGGAAGGGGTGGGTGAGACCAAAACAAACCCCCAAACCAACCCACGGTTCTAGCTGTACGCAAAACTGTTTCATTCCTTCAGAACCCTGTTCAAATCAAGACTTGAATTTCTGAGGCGGGACTCGCAGATCGCAGACCCTTCCCTTCTCTTGCAAAGCAATGCTATTTTTGTGGCCTAGAACAGTACTTTAAAAACAGCAGTTATTAAAGACACAGTTGTGATACATCCTTTAATTCCCCCTCGCCCAAAAAGGGGTATCCTATCAAGTGGTCCAGTAGAAATCTTGAAGTTTCTTTATGATAAATTAAATCCATAAAACGAGGAATACCTTCTGTCACATTCCCAACAAGCATAATAGCCACACTCTGTGGTGCGTTTGTTCAAGTGTCTATTGCTCCTTCTAGTGGAGATTCTGCACAGCTCCATCTCCGGTTCAGTTCTGGTCCTACCGATCAAAAGCAGAGTTCCTCCTCCTTTCTCCTCAGGTTGTCTCTGGTTAACAAACAGCAGAACCACTGTGGGCCATAATTCCCCAGGACAGGAACAGGCCAGTAATGTCTGAAGAAACACCAGTCGTCTTTTTCTCAGGTGTGGCAGATTTATGCCAAGAGCAGTTTTTTGCATCCTGTGGGTATCACCGGCACCTACACCTCTGTGGAAAAGAGAATGCTTTGCCTCTTGCTGTCTGGGGTAGGGATAGTCTCTAGCTGCAGGAAGTACAGAAGAACTTGAACCTGGAAAGATAAAGAAAGGGGTAATAATAAAGCTCTGTTAACTCATTCTCATCCTGGCTGTTTGAGCATTGATAGACGTGCCTACAGCTCTCTCCACAGGAATATCTTCCAGTTAAGTATTTGTTTTAATACAGGGTATAACAGCAGGGACATTGAAACTTGCAGTGCTTCAGAGACACTCTTTGCAGCTTCCAGGGTATAAAAATGGTGCTGGTGTTCCACTGCACTGAAAAATATCTGATCTATAATTTGCCATTACTCAACCAAGAAAGTAGAAACCAGTCTGACCAGCAAACCCAGCCTCTATGCTCAAATTCTCTGCATCGCCTTCAAAGGTAGCAGTGGCCAAAGAAATCTGAATTTAGCAAAGAATTTTGTTGTGCATCAGTGAAGGTCGTTTAAGGTTGAGGAGCATCATGGAAAAACCCTGACGATCCTTTTATCCAGGCTAGCAATGTGGTGCTGACAGACAGCCCTCAAAAAATATCCTTCTATGCACAAACACAAAATGTACAGGACTGCGTGCATAGTGCCATTTTCTCATGAAAAGCTGTATTAGTACAGGTGCAAACTGAACTGCCTGAAGAAACACAGTTCTACAGTCTAAAATGTCTGTGTGAGGGTGAAAGCTGTTTATGTTTCTCAAAAAAACCTGTCGTGAAAACACAGGAGGATGACTGAACCAGACCTTGCTACAGGACTGCGGTTTCCCACATGTTGCCTTCACAAGATTCAATAGCACGTTTAGGATTTTACCTGGGACATGACTTCTAGTGACCAACTATCGGTCATTGTGATAGGCTGGGTTGGGTTAGCAGGGATTTTACTGTCCTTCTCTGAAGGTCTGAGCAGCGTTGGTCCAAAGACAGTTGCAAGATTATGCAGGGACATCTTGTTAACGCTTTCCCTCTCAGCAACCCTGGGAGAAGAAACAATAAACAAGGCAGATCTTTATAAACATCTGAGTTTGGAAGTCTCTTTAAGTAAGAAAACATATTTATTCATTTTGCAAAAAGTTTCAGGAACATTCAATCAACCACACTCCCTCTCTATGTGCCTAAATGAACCTCATATATAAGCAATACCTTGATCTGACACAACCACAGTCTCCAGGTACTCGACAGACACAGCTCTAACGTGGGACAGGGACGGCTGTGAACTGTCTGGACAGGCAGAAGTGGGACAGCAATAAAGGAGTGTTTTCATCCCAGTTTCATAAATGAGAAATTGAGACATGCAGGTTAAAAAAAATTACCCAAGGGCAGAAAAGTCTGCAACAGAAACACAAGTAAAACCCAGATTTCCTGGATTTTAATCCAGAACCTCAGTCACAAGATTATCTTTCATCTCTCCAGTGACAGTCTCTGGTATGTACAAAATACATATGTAAATTAGCACATTGTGCATGTATTAAGCAAGCTTATTGCATTAAAATCAAACACATGGAAATACTCTTTCAGTTACAACCATATTTACAAAGGCATAGACAAGATCATAAAGACTAGTCTAGGCAAGGAACTGACAACTCCAGTTAGCAGAAGTACAAAGCTGGAATTTTAGAAAAATATATCATGTTAGATTGCAGGCACCTTTTGAGACAGGGCTCACAAGTCCTTAAACACGGCCAAAGCTTCACAATTTATACTAAACCCTTTCTCGATCCTTGTATCCAGATGCAGGTGATTTGCACTGGATAAGCCCTGAGACTTTTGTTACCCCTTTCCTTCAGTTCTAATCCTTTCAGTATGGGTGGGAATGAAATTCAGGATTTATTGTCTAATACTCCCTTAGTGAGGCACTAGTTATCTGATGAGCTTTCACAGCAAACGCTTCTTCATTTGTGATTCAGCACGGATTCAAGGAAAAGGCTCCTCTTTTCAAAATCATGATGCTTTACACGTTAAATACCTGTCTAGAGGATCCCTGTATTACCTTTTTAAATGGTCCAAAAGGAAAAGGAATGTCACAAGGTTGGGTTCTGGAAGCGATAACAATAGATTCAACATACAGCTTTCCTTTGCAACAGGATCTGAAAGTGCTACAAGACAGAAAATAACAAACCATCACCCTAGGCAGTGAAGGAGAATTTGACTGCATAATTTCCCAAACCAACAAATATGGATGGTCCCGAATGGACTGTAATTACGTCACAGGTTGAAGGTCAGAGTTGCACATCAATACCCTACAGGATCTCTTTCCTTTATTTCATAGATATGTAGAGAATCCTTGTCTCTCAAGCAGTTCAAGTGCTTTCAGACTTTCAACCATCACAACACTTCTGCCCTGTGTCAAGATAAGACATAGTATATCCCCCCCGCCCCAACGAGGGCTTCCCTGGAAGACTGAATGGGGCAAACAACAAGTATGCTGTCACTCTATTCTTAACCTATCCTTCAGAAACCTGGACATTTTTGACTCACAAAAAGACATTGGAAGAGTATGTCATTCCAACGCTCATTTCTGAGTTCCATTTCACTTTCCTAACAGCTTGTTCCAGGCTTCTGTCCAACGTTATAAATATGGGGTTTTATTGCTTTAGGAGCAGACTCCTACAGAACAGCGTCTTTAACACAGATGCTGGTGTCGAGGGTTATTTCTGCTACTACCTACCAATGCCCTCGGCAAAGTTGGGGTACAGCTCATCTGTAAAGAGGGGTTCAGGCAGCTCCCGGAAGTAGAGTTTCAATGTGCCCGCAATGGCATTGACATCCATCTCGCTCATCATCACTGACACGTCTTTGTTATCTGAAAGAGGCAAGAGGGGAAGCGGGGTAAAGAAGCTGCTGGCCTTGCATTCATTCTGTTTCTTGCTTTGGCTCGCTTTGTTTATCCCTTGTCTTGCCCGAATAGCTGAGAGTTTTCCTGTTTACATTTCTCCACATTAAATGAACTGCCTTCTGACAACTGAAAAGCGCTGCACAAATGACTGCAAACAGTTTATAGCTTTAAATCACGGAGAGGGAACCTCACACTACCCAGGGTTAGTTACACTGTGCCAGAGACCTCAGCCTGATCTGGAACAAGCCCTGCTTGACTGTATTTATATGCATTTCAATTTTTGTTAGTGACAACAATTGTTATTCCAATTCCCTGCCTCTAACAGCTTAGAACAAGGGACTCCAAGGCTGTCTAACTCCCTGTTGAGCGTAGCTAAAGTACACAGGCAATTCAGGGCTCGCA